GACCCAGGTTCAGTTCCCTGCTCTGTGTGAACTCAGGCAAGTCCCTTATTCTTCTTCGAGTACTTGCTCGTATCAGTTCCAGTTAGGTGACTCCCAAGCCTGACCTCGGAGGTGGGGTCAGAGTCAAGGTATTGCAGACTGAAGGGTCGCCCTGCCGAAGGCCGCATCCTCACGAGGTTGATGGACAATGGCGTAGCGCGGCGTGAAGGCATGCATCGAGGCCCACGTGGCAGCCCTGCAGATTTCCTGGAGGGGAACGTTTGCTGGAAAGGCTGATGATGCCTGGGTTCTCGTGGAATGAGCCACGGAGGGGGGGGAGACAGCATGGCAGACCGAGACAAACACTCTGTGTGCGTGAGAGAGAGAGATGCGCATTTCCCCTTTAAGTAAGCTGACCCACACTTAAGGACAGTGCCTTGTTAAGTTAATCAGCAAGTTGCTGCCAGGAAGTTCTCTCCGTCCTGAGCCCTGTCATGTGTCCCCCCTGCTCTATGGAAGACAGGGTAAGCAGGGTGCAGGGGGAGGGGGACACCCTGACATTAGCCTCCCTCTTCCTTCCCTCTTAGGGGAGCGGGGAGCTGATAGGGGGGCTGCCAGTCCACCCTGGTTCCAAGCCCACACCAGCTCGCTGCAACAGGCTGTTCTTCCTGCAAGCAGTGGACAAAGCAGGCGGCTGCCAAAGGACGTTGGAAGGTAGCATTATACAACTTTAAATGAGCATGTTCCCTAACTGATCAGCAATGTAACAACGTTAACCGGGACGACTTTAAATGAGGAGTTACTGTATTTGCCTTCTGATTTCTCAGAATTTTAAAATGTGACCTGAGTGCAGGTCAGTTTTTCTAAAGTTTTTCTCTGCAACCAAGAAAGCCAGAAGCCTCCTTTGTTTAGGAAAGGAAAGCCAAGAGTCTCACCTCATCACACGCTTCCAGGAGCTGGGACTTTAACAAACACAACAAATACAATGAGACTCATTATAAAATCATGAGTGTTGGAAACACCGCATCTTCTTTACACTGAGCCAGAGATGCCTCGGTGTACATGAGAATCGGGCCTTTGAAACATTGATCTCAGCTTAACCTAGGTTTTCTCCTGTGAATTTCATATCACTAGACTTGGCAGGATTAGACTTTTATCGGTGGATGTCTGTAAATGTTGATTTCACGGTATACACACAAACCCAGCAAAAAATACTCGCACTACTAATAACTGAAAGTTACCAATAGGCACAGTAAGAACGATGCTGCCTGAGAACTTATTAGACATTGATTTAAGAATATTTACTTTGCATATTTTGACATGTGATCTTGAAAATCTCTATTTTAATGGTTATGAAGCTTTAACTTTTTGAATCTGTCTCTACGGTCATTAAATAGTTATTGTCTCACCCAAATATCGTCTGATCCCGCTCTAAATCTCCCACCACTATGAACATTTAAATTGATAACTGGAATGAAATGCTTAAAACCCAGATTTTTGTGCAACTGTGAACGTTTAAATCAATAAATATAAAATTGCTTAAAAATAAACATCTGTCAAAATTTTTAATATATATATATATATATAAATGAATTCTACCAAGCCTGACTATCCGGCCTTAGACACACAGCTCCTGCTCCTACAGGCTCATCCTTACAGGGCTCATCCTTACAGAGCCCTAGTGGTACATTTTTCATTAAATGGCCCAGAGGGAGCCATGGCCACAGAGAACCTCCTGGAAAGTCTCCAGGAGGAAGCTCCATGTCCCATTTGTCTGCAGTAGTTCACAGAAGCTGTCACTCTGGTGTGTCGGGCACGTCAGCCAGTGCTGGGAGGGATCCAATACAGCTGTCTCCTGCCCTCAGGAACTGAGCAACACAGAAACGTCAGGCTGAACAGGCAGCTGGCAAACATGGTAGAAATCGCCAGTGGGCTGAGTTTCCAGGCAGCAAAAGGAGCAGGAGGGGACGGGGTGTGTGGGGAACACCAGGAGGCTCCAAAAAGTCTGTGAAGAGGATCAAACTTCGATCTGTCTCATTTGCCATCTGTCCCGGGCTCACAGAGCTCACACAGCGGTTCCCATCGACGAGGCCACCCAGGAGTACAACGTAGGGAATTGCTGTCAAGTTTAATGGGTATTAACTTTGGATTTTAATTACAGGCTAATTTCACAGAAAGTCACCTGGCACAGGCATGAGGCATCATTCAGCTCTGTAAACCCTTCATGGCATGGGAGATGCTGTAACAAAATAACTGATTTGACAGAGTGGCAACAGAGGCAGGTCTTTTACGATACCTGATGTGGGAAAATGTCCTTTGAGATTCTGATGGGGATTCCTGAAAATCTTCACCATATAAAGAATTCTACCAATCTCAATGGATCAGACATGTTACCCACCAAGTTAATGAATACTTCAGTTCTTACCCAAATCCACGCTTACAGCCAATTCTTGTGACCTAAACTACGATTTATTAAAAGAAGAATAGACAGTATTGGCTAAAAGATCATTAGACACAGAGAAGCGAGTAGAGTCCTGAGGTCAGTTTCACCATCGAGATGGCGTGTTAGAATTGGAAAGAGTCCTTTTCAGAATCATTTCTGTTAGGGGGGTCGTTCCTTCACCCTCTCACTTCCCTGGTCCTTCTCGCACGAACGGAGAGCAACAATACCCTCCCCCACAGAAACGATACAATATTTTCCTGTGGGGGAGGGTCCCCTCCCTCCAGCAGTACCTCCATGCTGCCCCTACTGCAACCCAGGTTATCCTTCGCCCACACAGGGATGTGTTCCCACCCAGCCGGGGGTGGTGGGAGGGCATGTGCTGCTTTAATGGTCGTAGTGGCTATGCCCATGGGAATGGTATCGCCCTGACCGTCCTGCGTCTGCCCCAGTAAACACACCCAATTGGCTAAGTCCAGTACAAGCCCCCGTTTGTGTAAATCTCCTGCCCCCAACAGATGAAGCATATTACAACCCCACATAATCTCCTCTTCCCCCCAGATTCCTTTGATCTGTCCCCACCTCAGGGTTAACTGTGTCTCCCCTCCCGTTGCCCCTACAATTGTCACAGTCCCTTCTGAGGGTCTCCCCTGCCCCCCATGTGGTTAAGCTGATGGCTGCTCCAGTGTCTATCAAAAAATCCCTCGTGGGACTCCCTTCGATCGCCCCCTGGAGCGTGGGGTGACCAGATGCGTCCCGTCCTAAACTGAGAACATGGACAGGATGCCTCCCAGGGCACCCCTAAGTCGCAGCACCCACCTCTGTCCCTCCCACAGGGGGACCGGGGGTCCTGGCACCAAACACATTCCTGCTGTTTCCAAGCAAAATTGTGTGTCTGGCATTTCAGGCCGTACCAGTCCCCTGGCCTCTGGGGCCACTTTCCCCCTGATCTGGTAAGATCCTGAGTAGTCAGTTTAGCCTGCAGTCTCTGTTTCTGTTGCTGTATAGCTGCCCGCTCGTCCCTGACTACCTCCCCTCCCCCCGCAAAGCCACGGCCTCTCCCTCTACCTCCTCCCCTCCGGGCTGACCCACCCCTTTCCACCTTGTACTGATCCCCCGCAGTAATAACATGGACTGGCTCTCCCCCCGGTGCATCTGCCTCCACTCATCTGTCTGTTCCAGAAACTGGGGTAGTTGATTGGGAGCAAGTTCAGGATGCTGCAACCTTAAATGCCCCACGAACTGCGGATCGTTCAGCTCCAACCATTTCTCCAGCAATTCCACACCCCTACCCTGCTCCACAGCCCCACCAGGTCCTGGTGCCCCTGTCTGGGGTATCACCCATGGATCATCCAGGGGATGCACCCAGCACTGTGCTCATGCCTGTATGACATTAAGTGTATCCCACCCTGTTTCCCCAGGGCTTCACTTCATCTTATTCATCCCCGCAGTACGAGAGTACACCCCAAACAACTGTTTTGCCACCTGTCTAGGGATTAGAAATGGATGTGCCACTCCTGCTATATCGATTCCTAAGGTGCCCTGTCCCACAAGACTACGCCATAACATCACCTGGTCCTCACGAGTTAGACCCTCCATCTCCCTGCCCACCTCCACTAGCCACAGCACAAACTGATCCCAATCATTCCGGGGTACCTTTCCCAAACGGCTCAGTACCACCTCCCAGTCCTTCAGGGACAAGGGGCGGATTTCTGCCTGCTCTACTACTTGTGGGGCATGGTTCCCCCCCCACCCCACCCCACAACCGGGGCCACTATTCCTGCCTCCTGCAGTTCCTCCCGGGTAGCCTCTCTCGCAGGGGCTGTAACTGTGGATTGCCGGCTTACAACATCCACCGGCAGTGGTGGGTACAGTGATTTTTCAGGGTAGGGTGGTGGACGTGTCTCCTTCAGTTCCATTAGTGGGGAGGATGGTTTGGGGTCCCCAAGTCCATTGCCCCTATGTTTACATTGATACAATTCCTCCTCTAAGCCTCCTACTCTCCCCAGCAGTTCGTCCCTCTCTCTCCGGATTGCCTCACAAAACTCCTCTGTCTGTGCAGCATCCCGTGCCTTCAAATCTTCAAAACCTCTACTGCTAACACAGATTTTTCTGTTAAAATCCGTTGCTGTTCCACAATTCCCTCCACATCCTTAATGTGTGGGAGGAGATCGGCTTCCCTTTTTACCCAGTATGCCATCCCAGCACACAAACCTTGTCATACCATTCCCTTTTTCCTACACTCCTTTCCCTTGGGTCTCCCAGAAACTCTCCCATCTCCTTCTCAATCTTATCCCAGGTGGACCCCTGCACCTGGTATGGGCCCTGATTCTTCCTTATCCATTTGTTCAAAAAATCCGTTATCCCAGTTTGCCAGAACCCGCAACTACCATCAAGCGTTCGCCATACTCGCTCCAAGCAGCTGCACGGACTGTTGGGGAGGGGGACTTACAGGCTGCCACTCACCTATCCAATGTGATGCATCCGAGTCACGGCACCAAGATGTTAGTGGGCTTATTCCTTCACCCTCTCACTTCCCTGGTCCTTCTCACATGAACAGAGAGCAACACTACCCAAAGTCTGAAGGTGCAAACAATTCGATGTTTATTGGGGTGACCTTCCAGCAAGCTTAAATCCAAGTTCCTTTTCCTTATTTTTGAATCCCAACTTACTTCCTGTTTGCCCCTAATTTATATGTAATATTCTTAGCTATACCTTAACCAGTCAGTCTACTGAAATTTTCCTAACCAATCCTAACATATTGTAAGATGATTAGCTAGCCAATTATATCCCACCACCTTAATTAGTTTACACCCAGCAAAATTAATTAAACAGCAGACAGAAACAATCACAGAACCACACAGAGACCATGCAAATAAACAATAGCAAAATGGGAACTATAATGACAAAACAATACAAAAGTGAGGATTTCACAACTACATCTATAAAGACATAAGGGTTTCCCAGCTGTATCTATTGATAAGTGAGTTCTTACCAGACAGAAAACTATCAAACTAAATTTCCTTTTACATCTTCTAGGCTCTTCCCTTCCTCTGGAGGTGATAGATCGGATCACCTTTTTATCCCCAGATTGCTTTATTTCAACTAGTTTGGAATGTGAGGAGGTGACCGTTCGCTTCCCAGCTTATGGCTGCCTCTGCTGCTTGGCCAAAGGCCTTAGCCTAAGAACAGGGCCTCAGACCGTCAAGGTCAGAGAAGGCCCTTACACAGATTCTTTCTTTTATACCTCTATAACTAGCTAAATAATAAACATATCCCTAAATTCTTAAAGTATAGGCCTTTACAGACAGGCTTGAATATCTATAGCCTAACAATTTCATCACGTTCTAGTCCAATGTCCAAATGTTCAATATCAGGGCGGTCCAGAGAGGACTGGAGATCTCAGTCTTACGACTCAAACTTCCCACGAATAAAGCTTAAGAAGATCTGAGAGAAACGGATCAGGTCCCAAGAGTTTATATAGACGTTTTTGCAGCCTCTTGACAGCAGGCAGTCCTTGGGTGAACAATAGGTTTTGGAAGTAACCTCCTATTTCCCAAACATCACAGGTAATAAAACTACATGGATTAATATAAGGTAATTATCCATAAAGCCATTCACAGACAGTTTACCACAAACTTTAAAAAGAGATATATATACAATGACATTATTACACCCAAGTTTCATTTAAATGTTAATATTTCCTTTTGACTTCTGAATTAACAAGATACAGTCCTAGACAGGAACCCCTTGGTTACACTGTTAATCTGTAACAAGATATAGGTAAACAGAGACTTCTACAATTACTGTCTGCTAGGGCAGTCAAGCGATTAAAAAAATTAATTGTGATTAATCATGCTGTTAAACAATAATAGAATACCATTTATTTAAATATTTTGGATGTTTTATACATTTTCAAATATATTGATTTCAATTGTGACACAGAATACACTCCACGCATCTGATGAAGTGGGTTATAGCCCACAAAAGTTTACGCCCAAAGAAATGTGTTAGTCTCTAAGGTTCCACACGGACTCCTCGTTGTTTTCACAGAATACAAAGTGTACAGTGAGCACTTTATATTTTTATTACAAATACTTGCACTGTAAAAAACAAAATAAACAATTTTTAATTCACCTATTGCAATTACTTTAGTGCAATCTCTTTATCATGAAAGGTGAACTTACAAATGTAGAATTATGTACAAAAAAATAACTGCATTCAAAAATTAAACAATGTAAAATTTTAGAGCCTACAATTTTAGAGCCTACAACTTCACTCAGTCCTGCTGAGTCAGTCCCTCAGAAAAACAAGTTTGGTTACAATTTGCAGGAGATCATGCTGCCCACTTCTTGTTTACCAGGTCACCTGAAAGTGAAAACAGGCATTCTCATGGCACTGTTGCAGCCGGCCTCACAAGATATTTATGTGCCAGATGCACTAAAGAGTCATGTGTCCCTTCCCGCTGGAACCACCATTACAGAGGACATGAATTCATGCTAATGATGGGTTCTAATTGATAATGATCCAAAGCAGACCGGACCGACACGTGCTCATTTTCATCAACTGAGTCAGATGCCACCAGCAGAAGGTTGATTTTCTATTTTGGTGATTCAAGTTCTGTAATTTCCCAATCAGGGTGTTCCTCTTTAAAGACTTCTGACAGCATGCTCCACACCTCGTCCCTCTCAGATTTTGGAAGGCACTTCAGATTCTTAAACCTTGGGCCGAATGCTGTCGCTATCTTTAGAAATCTCAGATTGTTACTTTCTTTGCGTTTTGTGAAATCTGCAGTGAAAGTGTCCCGTCATATGCTAGGTCATTATCTGTGACTTCTATATTACGAAATATTTGGCAGAATGTGTGTAAAACAGAACAGGGGACCTACAAGTCTCCTTCAAGGAGTTCAGTCAAAAATGTAATTAATGCTTTTTTTTTTTTTTAAATGGCCACTGTCAGCATGGAAGCACGTCCACTGGAATGGTGGCCGAAGCATGAACGGACATAGGCATGTTTAGCATATCTTGCACATAAATACCTGCATTGCCAGCTACAAACATGCCATGGGAACGCCTTCTCACACTTTCCGGTGACATCATAAATTAGAAGCAAAGCAGCATTCTCTCTCGAAAATGTAAACAAACTTGTTTGGCATAGCGAGTGGCAGAAAAAGAAGTAGCACTGAGTTTTTATTTGTTTTATTTTGGAGCGCACTTATATAATTAAAATCATCTGTGTTTCTAAGTTACACTTTCCTGATAAAGAGATTGCATGGCAGCACTTGTATGAGGGGAACTGAAAAATACTGTTTTTGTTGTGCATGTTTACAGTACAAATATTTGTAATAAAAATAATATAAAGTGAGCACTGTGCACTTTCTATTCTTTGTTGTGATCGAAATCAATAGATATGAAAACGTAGAAAAACATCCAAAAACATTTAACAAATTCCAATTGGTATTCTATTGTTTACCAATGCGATTCATCGAGATTAATTTTTCTAACTACGATGAATTTTTTGGGGTTAATCACACGAGTTAACTGCAATTAATCAACAGCCCTACTATCTTCTTCCAGTTTTTTAACAACACCAGTTTACATTTCAAAGTGCTTGTCTCTATTACTTTGAATGGCCCCAAATACCATTTACACACTCTTTTAACATGTCTCTAAAGGTTGAATCTGGGTCAATTAGCCTGCAAGGTTCTTAACTCTTTTGGGCCAGGTGTCACAGAAGTTTAGATCATGTGTGAATTCTCCCGTGTTTAATGAGGTGTGATCTCTGTGTACAACTTTTGCCACAGTCCAAGCACTTATGGAGTCTTATGGATTTTCTGATGTAAAACAAGGACTGATCAGTTTCTGCAATGTTTCCCACAGTCTAAGCAGTTATGGGACCTCTCTCCTGTGTGGATTGGCTTATGTTCTGTAGGGCTGAGGTGTTTCTGAAACCTTTCCCATGGTCCAAGCACTTGACCATGATATGAAACATTCTCCATCGTCTAAGCACTTATGGGGTCTCCTGTGCGGATTCTCTGATGTAAAACATGGGCTGCTCCATATAAAACTTTCCTCACAGCCTAAGCACTGATGGGGTCTCTCTCTCCTGTGTGGATTAGCTGATGTTTAACAAGGTCTGACCACTGTAGGAACATTTTTCCAATCTGAGCACTGATGGGGTCTCTCTCCTGGGTGGATCCTCTGAGTGTAATAAGATTGAATCTTTGTGTGAAACTTTTCACATGGTCCAAACACTCAATTGGGTGTGTTTCTTGTGTGGATTGCCTGATGTGAAACAAGTTCTTTCCTCCATTTAAAAGGTCTTTCACAGGCTAAGCACTTGTGGGGTCACTCCTCTGTGTGGATTCTCTGATGTAAAACAAGGGATGACATATATTTGAAACATTTTTCCATAGTCTAAGCACTTATGGGGGTCTCTTGTGTGTGGATTGCCTGATCTTTAGAAGGGCTGATCTGTTTCTGAAACCTTTCCGAGAGTCTTATGGTATCCCTCTTGTATGAATTGCTTGATGTTTAACAAGGTGGGACCTCTGTCTGAAACTTTTCCCACAGTCTAAGCACTTATGGGGTCTCTCTCCAGTGTGGATTGCCTGATGTATAAGAAGGTCAGACCTCCGTATGAAACTCTTCCCACAGTCCAAGCACTTATGGGGTCTCTCTCCTGTGTGGATTGCCTGATGATTAACAAGGTCTGACCTCCGTATGAAACTTTTCCCACAGTCTAAGCACTTATGGGGTCTCTCTCCAGTGTGGATTGCCTGATGTATAAGAAGGTTTGACCTCTGTATGAAACTCTTCCCACAGTCTAAGCACTTATGGGGTCTCTCTCCTGTGTGGACTGCCTGATGATCAACAAGGTTTGACCTCTGTATGAAACTTTTCCCACAGTCTAAGCACTTATGGGGTCTCTCTCCAGTGTGGATTGCCTGATGTATAAGAAGGTTTGACTTCTGTGTGAAACTCTTCCCACAGTCTAAGCACTTATGGGGTCTTTCTCCTGTGTGGATTGCCTGATGTTTAACAAGGTTTGACCTCACTGTGAAACTCTTCCCACAGTCTAAGCACTTATGGGGTCTCTCTCCTGTGTGGATTGCCTGATGATTAACAAGGTCTGACCTCCGTATGAAACTTTTCCCACAGACTAAGCACTTATGGGGTCTCTCTCCTGTGTGGATTGCCTGATGTATAAGAAAGTTTGACCTCTGTATGAAACTCTTCCCACAGTCTAAGCACTTATAGGGTCTCTCTCCTGTGTGGATTGCCTGATGCATAAGAAGGTTTGACCTCTGTGTGAAATTTTTCCCACAGTCTAAGCACTTATGGGGTCTCTCTCCTGTGTGGATTACCTGATGATTAACAAGGTCTGACCTCCGTATGAAACTTTTTCCACACTCCAAGCACTTATGGGGTCTCTCTCCTGTGTGGATTGCCTGATGTTTAACAAGGTCTGACCTCCGTATGTAACTTTTCCCACAGTCTAAGCACTTATGGGGTCTCTCTCCAGTGTGGATTGCCTGATGTATAAGAAGGTTTGACCTCTGTGTGAAACTCTTCCCACAGTCTAAGCACTTATGTCTCTCTCCAGTGTGGATTGCCTGATGTACAACAAGGGTTGACTTCTGTATGAAACTTTTTCCACAGTCTAAGCACTTATGGGGTGTCTCTCCAGTGTGGATTGCCTGATGTATAAGAAGGTGTGATCTCTGTATGAAATTTTTCCCACAGTCTAAGCACTTGTGGGGTCTCTCTCCGGTGTGGATTGCCTGATGTATAAGAAGGTGTGATCTCCGTATGAAACTTTTCCCACAGTCTATGCACTTATGGGGTCTCTCTCCAGTGTGGACTGCCTGATGTCTGACAAGGTCTGACCTCTGTATGAAACTTTTTCCACAGTCTATGCACTTATGGGGTCTCTCTCCAGTGTGGATTGCCTGATGTCTGACAAGGACTGACCTCTGTATGAAACTTTTTCCACAGTCTAAGCACTTATGGGGTCTGTCGTCTGTGCGGATTTTCTGATGTGTAATCAGTGCTGACTTCCAATTCAAACAATTCCTGCCCTCAAGGCACTGAGAGGGTTTCTCTCCCATTTGGCTTCTCCCATGGTTAGTAAGTTGTGAGTGCTTATTATAGTTTTCCCCACAGTCCAAGCATTGAAGTGTTTTCTCTCCAATATTTATTGCCTGAAGTGTAGCAAGCTGTGATCTTAGAACAAATCCTTTCCCATAACCGAGGCATTCATAGTGTTTGTCTTCCTTGGGGGTTGTCTGCCGGGCTGTGGGATTCCTGTGTCCTTCCCCATATATAATAGATTCATCCATTTGCTCCCTTGAGTGGTTTCCCAGCAGCCTCTTTGACCTCTGCCAATTTCCCCAGGCTTCTCCCTGTGCCAAGTACTGGGAAAAAATCCCTTCAGTTCTTCCCACAAAGGTCCCCTGCGGTTCCCCGTCCCATGAAACTTCCTGCTGTTGATTCCCCTCCTTCTTCTCACTCACTCTCTCATCACCTGCTGGGAGAGAGACAATGCAGACAGGAGTCATTGTGCTGAGGAGAAATTAAGAGGAATCACACCGGGGGAAAACCCACCATGCTAAAGCTGCTCAGATGGAGCAATTGGATTCTGCCTCCACTTCCCACCCAAACTTTTACAGAGAAGGAAAGTAGGGAAGGAAACTCCTCCAGGTAACAGGACATGTGGGAAGCGACGTCAGTGACAGATGTTGCCTGCAGCCCTGCTCTGGATGAGATGAGGAAGGAACTGAGGGCACTTACTGATACCTCATTTGGGGGATTCTCAACTTTTTCCTTCATTCACCAGATGGTTTCTGTGTCAGTCCTCACCTGTGTGGGAGCCTCTCGGGATCTCTTTTTTCTCACAGGCCTGAAGATCGGGCACCCATGGCTCTTCCCCTTGTTCCAGCCGCATGATCAGGTCAGGTTTGGGAAGGGGGAATCCTGTGCAGGGGGTGAAATCAGACCAGATCAGGGTTTGTGGAGGATTGAGAGAGCATCTGTCAGAAAGGATATTCCATGGGCAGCACCTGTCCCTTTGCTGTGCTGGGGAAAGTGGAATCTAAGAGGACGGGAACATGGTCACTGAGCCCCCTCGGGGGAGGCAGACGTCTGGGGAAGTGAGGGGAATTGGGACGCACACCCAGCTCCAGTGTTAAACCCCTGCCTATTTCTAAACCTGTGGAGCCCAGAGCCCTCCACATGGCTGGAGCTGTTCCCAAGGAGGAGAGAGAAGAGGGATTCTGTGTGTGACCGAGAAACAACACAGACAGGACAATGCATGGCTTCTCCACCGTGCAAGCTAGGGGGGTTGGGTGGGGATGATTTACTATGTGCCTTAGGTTTTGACACCCTGGTCTCATTGGAGTGTGATGAAGGAAGAACCTGACCGGTGTCAGACACGCAGACCCCCCCAGCTTCCAATAACCAAGGGGCCAGGAATCCCTTACCCAGCGAGGTCACCGTCTCGTAGTTCTCCTGCATGACGTCCCTGTAGAGGGCTCTCTGAGCAGAGTCCAACAGAGCCCCCTGACCCTGGGTGAAATACAGAGCCACCTCCTCGAAGGTCACCGGCATCTGAAACAACAAGAGTCCCCCTCTCAGCACCTGCTGCCCCAGCCACAATCCCACTAATCATGGGGGAGGAGGGAGAGAGAAGCAGAATCCTCCCTACACCCTGCTCAGAGCAGCCAGGAGGCTTCAGGGGCTGGGAGACGGTGAGAGCTCCCTGTCCGCCCCAGCACACGGAGCAGGGCAGGGTCTTCTCATTTCCCACACGCCTGCCAGCCACAGACTGACACGGGAAGCAGAGCTCTGAGCCGGGGACGGGGACAGGAATCCCGACAGCTTCCCTTCGTATTTCACAGCAGCCTCTGGCCAGTGGGTTCAGGCTCCAGCACTGGGAGTCTGGTCAGTTTTCCCAGCCCTGCCTAGGGGGCTGTTCCCTAGTTCAGAAATGGAGTTTTCCCCTCCCCCCACCTGCCAATGGGCCTGTTCAGAAAATCAGGCCCAGGTCGATCATGTTCCAGCAGGTTTATCACACCCCGTCCCACGCCGGGTGATTAACCCCTCTACGATGCCCCTCCCCCACCACCAAAAGCTCCCTAAAATCTCCTACCTGAGCTGGCTCCATCACAGCCATTTCCCTGCCCTGTCCCCTGCAAGACGGGACGATCTGGAGTGAAACGTGGACGCGATTCCTCAGCCTGTCAGAGGAGCAGGGAGATTGATCAGGTTTCATAAGGGGCTGGAGTCCATGTCACTCCCCAAGTCCCCCCAGGCTCTCTCCCTGCAGACAGACGCTCTGATTCTATGACTCTGCCATGCTGGGAACAAACCCAGTTAGTTCATTACCTCCCCCGGCCAGCCCCCCTGCTTAGAACTAACCCACCACGTCCCTTCTAAACCTCCCCAGAGCAGCATCTCTGAGCCAAACGCTGGAAAAAGAGCAGAATCAAAGGAGTCACTTCAGGGTACTGCCCCACAGTGTATTGTGACGCCCTCTAGCTCTCCCCCATCTCCCTAAGTAGCGCGGTGCTCAGCAGAGCGAGCAACTGGCTTTTCCTCTCTCAGCTCCTGCCCTTGTTTCCAGGAGAGCGGACTGCCCCGGGGGTGCAGGGAATGGATCTGGGCAGGGCTGGGAGCTGGGAAGCTCCCTCCCCACTTCTTGTTCCTGCTGCCCTTCAAGTCTCTCCGCTCTCCCTTTTTATCTTCTTCCCTCACCCTGGGAGAACGGGTGACTGTCCCATTGGCGTGAGCCTTTGCTCTCATCAGGCAGCTCAGCCATGGACACTGGTAACAGGGGTTGAACCAGGCTGTGTCACTGAGGGCAGCAGCTCTGGGACTCACAGACACAGGGAGCCCCTCCCCTTGTAGGCCAAACTCACCAGCCGGTCCCTGAAAGGGGCCTTGTGTGCATTTCCCTGCCCAGCTCCAGCCCTTTCCCCAAGTCTCTCCATCACCAGCAGGCTCAGGGGCTGGTATGGTCAGAGCGGTTCCAGCCACTGGAGAAAGTGCCCCTGGGCTGGTCTCAGAGGTGTGTGATGAAGCGGGAATGTTCTTAATGTTTTTTCTGAATACTGTGTGTGTGCCTCAGTTTCCCCATGTGTTACACAAGTATCAAGCTGGAGGGATACAGGGGTGTGATCATTGTGGAGACCTCTAGAGGGCAGGTGTGACAGCAGAGTGGCTGCCTGGGCGTAGAGAATGCCCCAAATTCTGTATCCTGGCAAGTGATGGTCAGAGCCTGTCCCCTGCAGGGAGCCAGCCGAAGGTGTTGGAGAACAAAGAGAGAGGGGAAGGCCAGATGAACTGCTCTCCTGGGAAAGAGAGAAAGCACGGGGGAGGGCCAGCTGGGCATCACTGAGGATGGGGGGCTGGAAGCGGGATCAGTCTCCCATTTTGGGACTCAGCAGGGAGAGTCCAGGGCTCGGGACCTTAGATTCCCCCCCCAGATGGACTTTGCTGAATGCTCCTGATTTCTGTGCTAACTAGCTCTGTTCTATGCTGTCTTCTCAGCGACCAATAAACCCTTCTGTTTTCCAAGCTGGCTGAGAGTCAGAGCCGACTGCGGAGGTGGGGTGCACCGCCCCTGCGGGGGAACGTGTCAGGCTTCTCCTTAGGCTGCCCCTGGGGTTCAGGCTGGGTCCGTATGCACTCCCTGGGCCCCAGGACCGGGAAGGCTGGGGCCACACGCTCAGCGGGTGGGGAAGATGTTGGGGGTGTTTAGGGGCTGGGATCCTGCCCCTACCGTGTGTAGGGGGGCTTGCCTCCCACAGCCCTAGGTTCACCCCCCGCCAGATGTACCTCGTTCTTACCCCCGGCTCCTAGTCCCAGGCAAGGGGGCTGAAACAATCTGGGGGGCACTGAGAGCCATTGAACCAAACTGTAAACCCTGGATAGGATGAAAACCTTTCCAAGCCAGGGGGTGCGGCAGGGCCCCGCTAGCCTAGATCCAGCACCTGTGCTGCCC